TCTGGAGTTTAGGAAGAGGGTGTGTATGCATATGTGAGTGTGTGTATGTATGTGCGTGTGAATGTGTGTGAGTGTGTGTGTGTGTGTGTGTGTGTGTGTGTGTGTGTGTGTGTGTCCGCGCACCTTCGGAAAGTGTAGGCTAATAACAGGCGCAAGGAGGTGGGGGTCACATGAGAGTGAACATGGTATGACTACGACACGTATGACAGATTCTGATCTTTGATTCATGATGAGAAATCGTGAACATATTAACTGATTAGCGCTAATGACATAGCCTATTATAAATAAGCATCAAGATTCAAAACCGCAGAGGCAACAATGCAAAACAGAAACAGCAAAAAACCGAAGCGAAGAAAGAACTAGATCTATCTAATCTAGATCTAGATCTAGATCTAGACAACAAACGAAACAACACGCTGAAACAAAAAGTAAAAGAAACGCGACATGATAAAAATATCCAAGGCCTCTAACACCAAGGACCATTGTATGTCCACCTGGTGGACTGTCCTCTTCCTACCTGTGTGTGGCAGAAGAGCTCGTTGAATCCTCCACCTTCTCCGCTCGTCGTTAATCAGAATGATAATTGATAATCCTCCCTCGCCTCGCCGTGGCAGTGCACAATACACACACAGACACACACTCTCTTCAACTTCAAGAGCTGTAGTGTCAGCTACAAAGTCCTTGACTAAGTTCTACTTTTTCAGGCCTCGCTCTTGGTTCCTCCTTCGCGCTTGATCGACAACCCACCTTCGCGGTTATTTAGTTCTTCGGTAGTTCTTCCTTTATGGCTCTATTATTATTGTACTTGGACTCATGGAGCGACAACTGCTAGCACTACTAGATCTAGATCTAGGTCCACTGCGCTTCAAATGGCGCTTTCTAAATTATTCTTCCTGTATATCTTCTCTCTACCCGACCTGGCCGTGAAAAGCGAGCGAACGCGCTGACGGCTGACAGGGACAAACAGCACCGCGCAAACCGTGTCTCGTGAAGGAAGCAGGCAGACAGAGAGAGAGAGAGAGAGAGAGAGAGAGAGAGAGAGGGAGTAGGGTGGGAGGGGTTTGACGCACGACGTCACAGATCGTCTTGCGGCCGTGTGCGAAATTTCGATCCCCCCCAAACACGGATAAAGCTCGTGGCCAGGACAGAGGCCAGGACGTGGCGCAGAAGGCACAAACAGCCTGGGCTGTGCAAAATCCGATTCCGTGTTGTTGTCATCCGGGTATTTAGTCATGCAAAAGTAAGGAAGAAAAAAAAGAAAGAAATTGACTGCAGGTCGACCCGCTTTTGTCACAAAATAGTTCTCTGGGTTTTTCCAAGAGCTTAAAGGGGATGGTGATATTTCCCCATGTTTAAAAAAAATAAGGGGGGGGGGATGGTGTTCAGAAAGAGGATGATACTTTATCTACAAAACGTATAAGTTAGCAGGGGCGAAGCGTCTATATAATCAAATAATCACTGCTTCCCTTCCTAATTTTGAAACATTGTCGCTGTCAAATTCATCCTTAAACGTAAACCTCTTAAATTAAAAGTAAAAAGAGGTTCGTAATC